TATATATATATTAATTGTGTGTGTGTGGCAGAGAGAGAGAGACAGAGAGAAGAGAGAGAGAGAGAGAGAGAGAGAGAGAGAGAGAGAGAGAGAGAGAGAGAGAGAGAGGATATCCTTGACTGATACAGAGTTTTTTAATGGAATGCAAAGTTGGCTTTTATAGAACTAAAAAATAGAATGTTTCACTGATTTTATCATTTATTTAAGAATGTATATTTCAAATGATGATAAACTAATGCTCTTTTGCTGAACAAAGACATCATTATATTCTGACAATTAACCTAGAATATAATGACATAGGATAAATTCAGTATATCTTCATTTTTTGTAGTTTTAGGAAATCAATAAAACCACTTTTACATTAGATAATTTTTCATGTTATCAGACAATTCAAAGAATCCAGTACCAATTAATTTGTTAGATTATATGGTTTTAATAAACTCTTAATTTTAAAAGTTAACCAAGAAATGCTATTTTGTAGTATTCTAGCTAGAAACGATCATCCTGAATTCTTATTTTTCCTGTTATATTGGTTTAGGACTATTAAAATACGTTGTACTCCATTTGTTTCTTCTTCCAATGTAATCCATTACTCTTTCTCATATTGATATCTTACCCTAGGGAATCCATGGACAATAGTCTCCACTTTTTGAGTCTATTTGTTGAAATTATTGGCCCAACGCATTATTGTTGGCAAATGCATATATCAACAACATCAATTATTGGTGAAAAATGCATTTTGAATCTCTGATCATTAGTCTCCAAAATGAAATTCAGTTGGGGTGTAGGAAAAGTGTATAGGATAGGAAGCTGTCAGTGAAAATGAGTAACACTGTGAAGTAACAATACCAGTTAGAGGAAAGAGGCAACAAATTCATCAGAATGCAGCAGGAAATTTGTGATAGGTCTTGGAGGAAGGAAAAGGAAGAGTGAGGAATGGTGCAACTGTACTTCAATTGAAAAAAATCAAATAATAATACAAATAAACTAATCTAAATGGATGAATCAATAATATGAGAAAAACTGGTATCAAGAACCAGTCTTATAAAAGGAGCTAAATGGGATATTAGTGTTTCCCATGGCCTGTGCAGCCCTGGTCACCTGGAAAAGAAGATGATAGGTGACCAAGATGCAAATTCAATTTCACTTCAAGAATAAAGATACTTTTCTAGCTCCACCACTGTTTATAATTTGTTTAGCTAGTTCGAGAATAGCACTGCAGGAGAAGTTGAGGACACTGTACATGTGTCAATTCATCTGAGTCCTTCTTTCTGCATTCCCCCTCTCTGTGGCCTTGTTAGGCTCAAGAGGGCAAGCTTCAGAGGTTTCTTTCTTGTTTGATGTTTCCCGAAGTCATGGGGCAACAACTGGGTCTGGGTGTACTTGAGAAAGGAACTGCACACCATCTGGACCCTACAAGGTAATGGATATCCAAACCCTAAAATGAAGTCCACAGAATAAGAAGCAAAACCCTTCTCATCTGACAGATGACTGTCTCCAGATAATCATTCTCATAATTTAATGAGCTACAAATTGGAAGTAGAAAATAGTTAATAATGATGCCAATCACAATGAGAATATCCTTACAGGGATCTGGTACAAAATAATTCATGATTAACCAAAATGAAAGAATGTTACTTTATGATAAAACTGCTGTCAGAGGTAACTTTAAAAGTCTCTAATACAAAAAACAATATACTTCCTTAAAACAGCAAAGACTCTGCTAATTAATTATGTCTTTTTAAGTCTGGGCAGTGGTGGTATATGTCTTTAATACCATCACTCCAGAGGCAGAAACTAAATCTCTGAGTTTCTGGACAGCCATAGTTCCACAAACCTATATGGACAAAAGACACAAAAGAAAAAAGAAAGAAAACAGGGGAAGGAAGGAAGGAAGGAAGGAAGGAAGGAAGGAAGAAAGAAAGAAAGAAAGAAAGAAAGAAAGAAAGAAAGAAAGAAAGAAAGAAAGAAAGAAAGAAAGAAAGAAAGAAAGAAAAAGATGTCTTTTTAAAATTAAAAACATCCATTAGAGAAAAAATAAAGTGTCAGGTCTGGTTAATATTCAAAGGACTGAAAAGGTGACCTATGAATGGTGCTTCTCGGTCATTTACTTTTAATAACTTGCCAATATGATAGCAAGAAAGTGAAGTAGCAAAATATGTTTCTTCATAAACCTAGAACATGCAAGTGAGAAATATTAACATTACCAGAGTCTGTGGGGCTGACATTTCAGAATAGGGAAAGGTGTAAGTGTGGTAGCATTTGAGTAGCAAGTGGTGCCCATGTCTGCATTCTTTTCTGTGACTTTGATTATTTTTTTCTTTAAACTCACATGCCTTTTAAACTCATATAATGTGCAAAATTACATTGTTTACACTTATATACTGTTTGAAATGATATGTTAATTAATTGTACTATAAATTGTATAAGACTAGCTGGGGGAGGAGAGGATGGAGAGGGAAATGAGAGTAACATGTGTAAAAAGATAAATTTTTAAAAAGTAGTAAAAAATAAGTGATAGATTATCAGTTATGCCTGTTTTCCCACAAGGGGCATTGCAAAACTTGATATATGGAATCATTTATAAAAACGAAAAACTTGTGTGTGTGTGTGTGTGTGTGTGTACAAACGCTATGTTTTTTGTGTAGCACTGCATATACAGCTGATAAATTAAAGTAAGTTCTGAAACAAACAGAGCTTAGGAGCATCTATCTTCTCTTGAATCCACTCTTCTAACACCAGACTTAATTCTGCCACTCCAGCACAGATATTTTATCCTAACTCTAACCACTGTTAATGAATTATATTATCTATATTCTGTCCATCAGACAGTCTCTTTTGTTGAAAATAATACTACAGTCTATAGCTGAGCTGATTCTTAATTAACATAAAATATTGGTGTATAAACATTTACATGTAGTCCTAACTAAATTATTTCTGTTCCAATGGCCATAATTGCTGAAATCTATTCCTCTCATTCAGTCTGCCCTGCATTGTCCTCATCAGAATCAGATGCTGCCAGACTTACACCCTAATTCAGAGGTTGTTTGGTCATTAAACTCATGGTTTGTTAAGGAAGATTCAAAACATTTCTTAAGAAAATAAAATAACCCTGGGAAAAAATTCACAGAATGCATTAATGTGAATCCAAAATTTACGTTTTCTTTTATTAAAATGATAACAGTGTTTGTTTTAGAGTAAAGAGCTTTCCTTTAAATGAAAATTTATTACAAATAGCCAACAGGCTGGGATACTTTGGACAATGTTGTGCACCATTCCCTTATCTCTGGATCACTATATGGTAGTGGCATCATGGACAGGCATTTTGCAGATGAGTGAATTGCATAAAACTGTGTCCTCTCCTTTAGTACTGAGAGTTTAGGTATTTGGGTTACAGAAAAATAATCTTTATTAGTGCAAATATCAATGGTCTTTCATGTCATTGTCCCTGATTTCTCTGATGTGTGTAAAACTATGGCATGCTCATGAATACATCCTTATATATACATATATATGCATGCTCATGTAATACATAAATATGCATACTTCTGTGTATATCTATTCATTCTACGAAACAACAACAGGCCTGAGAGAGAAACCCAACACTGAGGTACCTTAGCAGTACAACTTTGAAAACATTATGAGAAATTAGGAAAACTTTAAAATTGAGGAGTATTTCTTGAACATCCCAAAAGAAGAGAGAGGACATAGAAAGTCTGTAAGATGCAGAAGTGATGGGAATAAAACATATTTTTCTCAGAGACATCCATCCTTCATTCTCTGTTGAAGCGTCTTTATAGTGAGAGTTCAGTGATTACTTAGTAAACTGAAATTATGCCGGAACTTATTTTCTTTAATTCATTTCAAGTGAATACGTTGATCACAGCCTCAAATAATAGCATTTTGTTTGCTACTATCTCAACTCTCAGTGATTGTGCCTTGACTACACACACAAGTGCAAGCACAGATAGGAACAATCTTCCCTCGTTAGAATATCTGAGAACATAGAGATTTTAGTAAATAAGAATAGTAATAAATAGAGTGACTGTTAGAAACTGAAAACGTCTTCAGGAGAAAGTCCTAACAATTTTGCTTCTAAGATAGAAAGCAATTTGCTTTCATTAGTGCTAAAGAGATTTAGTGTTAGTGTCAGAACCATTTTATCAAACTATCCCAATGGTGTTCTTAAACCAGAATAGTACATTTAAAGGTTCAGAAATATAGTTTTATGTTATATTTTCTCCTTAGATACTTGTAGTCTGAGAGAAATTCTACAATAATGTAATACAGCTATTATAGCTGAAATCAGAGTAAAATAAATCAATATGATAAACATCCATTCATTTGTTTATGTAATGACTATTTTTCAGCATCCATCTGTGTCAAGCCTTTTTCTGGGTAGTAGTGAACAAACTTGAAGAAGTGACATTTCTGGCTTCAGGAGAATCAGAGTTTAATATCAGAGGCAGACATCAAAATAGAAAATGAAACATATTGAGAAAATAACCAATGTTGGTATATGCATATGTGTTTATTATAAATTATTTTATAATACAAAAGTTATGTGGTAGAATACCTTGCCACCTGTGATATATACAGGATATAGTTATTTGGAAGGTGAATTCTGCATTTTATGTGTCAAACAAAACACCCCTGCATTAGTTGATGAAGCATAAAACTTGGATTGACAGCATCCTGTGTCCACTGTATAATCTCTTTCTTTAGCTGGGAGCCTTTCATTGTATGTAGTACTACAAGTTTTCACTCTATGAGTTTGATAAGAACTCTAGACTCACAGTTCTTTTCAGTTCCCGCCTCCCTCCTTTGTATTTGTTTTGTGTGCTCTCTAGACTAGAAGCATCAGCAGTCCTTATTTAACTTTCTATAACATCAACTGTGTAACTAATGTTCAGCTGATTCACTCTCCGTGTGAGGCAGAGATGTGCTACATGCTCTAACTAAAACTTGTCCTTAACTTTCATTTTTTGTATTCCTATCAGATTTATTGGGTGGAAGAATGCTGCCTTCTCTCTACCTGAATCCTTAAGAAGCAGTGCAAAGACTGCCTTTGCTCCTCTGTGCCTTGTTTCGTGGGGAAAGCATACTGAGTACTTTAATGAATAGAACTGCAATGTCTGATGTAGAAACTAGAATATTTAATGAATAAATAATACATTTAAAATATCTAATGTAAAACATAATACATTTATATAAATATCACCTACGTAATATTTATTATGTTAAAGGAAAAATTGCTTGCTATGTCTGACAGGCATTTTATAATTGTAATTATATGCAAAATCAGAAATTGTATTCAGGATAGTAACTATCTAATAAAGGGATTATATTCTGTTGAAGTGTGCCATTTATTGTGACTCCAGAGATATTTATAAATTGTTATTTAAAATTTCTTGAAATGTCCCTTAAAAAAAGATTTAAAAAGAATTTGGGTAGTTACCTTATACAGGTTTACTCTTTCACACATATTCTTTGAAAATACATGATATAGACATACTGTCCTCAAATATCTCAGGTTATGAAATGAGCATCATGATAGAAGTAATGACTCAGAATTGAGCATAAAAATATATGAAATTCCATGTCTCTAAAGGCCTTGGGGACCTTTTACCAGACCTGCCAATCTAATTTTGCAGTTATTTATATGAGAAAATACACAGTGCTATTAAAAATTAATCTAGCTTCAATACACTGTAAGTGAAAGAAATGAAGGAGAAGCCAGTCAGTCGATATGTGAATAAGGAAACAGTAATATAATGATGCAGATGAATGACAAAGGGTATGTTGGCTATAAGAGCCATCAATGAAGAAATGATCAATAGCACAATGCAGTGATGTAATCTACTAAATTCACCTAAAAATCAGGAAGTACATTTATTGGTTGATTTGTATTAATGTGGATTTTTAAGGATGCATAGTTTTTGGATAAACATGAAAATATTTTTATAGATGTTGAAATAAGAACAATGTTGGACTGACAGAGATGTTGAGTATTTAACAAGTGGAATGATAGAAATTGCTGAGTATGAGGTGCCAGCTGATGAGAACATTTTCCAAATACTTTTGGCAATAAATATGGAAAGGTTTAGTTTGTATAAGTACATGGTGTCCTTGAGCCCCCATTGCAAACCTTCTGGGTATTTAATTTAGTTTTCTCTTTACTTAGGGGAATTAACCACTTTAAAGTAAACAGCTCAGTAATGTTTAGTGGACTCACAGTGAGGTGATGGCATTGTTACCTGATTCCTAAGCATTTGCATCAGCCAGAACAAAACCCCATAGTCACAAGGCAGTCAATCATCCATTTCCCTTCCTGTAAATCCTCAACATCACCAATCTCTTTCCTCTTTGGATTTATCTTTTCCGCATCATTTATGCAAATGGAAAGATATAATTTTATATAAGAATAATGTTTTAGAAATGTACCCACACTGCATTATGTATCTATAACTTAAACCTTTCATGGCTGGGTGTTTATTCATTCCTTCACATTACTTCTTGGTTTGTATGAATAATAATATGAAATTTGCCTTAAATGATTTTATTTGTATGCCTCCCTCATCCACCAAGTACTCACTGGCTCTGAATGAATCATCTGCATTCTCTACTTCAGTGCTCTTGCCTATGCTATTTAAATTACCTAAGTTCCATTCCTCTTACACTTCCAAGTTACTTGGGTAATCAGACTGTTATGTCACACCTCTTAACTTATTTGAACAACTAGGTGTGCAGCCCTCAGACAAAAGTCCTATAACAACATTTCTACCAAGCTAGTGTTATTTCATGTGGATTGAAAACTTTTTAAAGAGAAATCAGACAATTTACTTCTATGTTATCCTATGACACTGTTGAACCAATTGTGAATTTGGCAGTAAGTATGAAATTAATAGTAAGTTTGTTTCTCTAGATGTAATGTTAGAACTACAGAATGTGTGTTTGTGTGTGTATGTGTGTGTGTGTGTGTGTGTGTGTGTGTGTGTATCTAAATAGGGATCCCTTTGTTTTGGGCCCTTACTGTATTTTTATATGTGACCTGTTCAATCATCCAAGAAAATAATATTTAGAAGTATTACATATGAAATATTTATTATCTGTTTAGACATGAGAACTCACAGAGATCCGCCTGCCTCTGCCTCCCAAGTGCTGGGATTAAAGGCGTGCGCCACCACCACCTGGTGAGACATGAATATTATCAATCAAAATGTTTTTGATGAATGAATTTCAAGGAATGTTTAAATGTTGTTATTACTTGCTGTGTCCATAAAGTTCAAATAAACTCATTTTGATTTAAAGAAAAAAATCACTGTTGATACTCTGGCCAAAATATGATTTACAGATTTTTTTCATAAAATTAAGAATATATTCCCATTTATAAAAAGGCTACCAACATACTATGCTGATTTACTTGTAGGGCCAGGAAGATGGATAGGATAATTCTTAATATTCCTGTATTATTGTTATTAGATTTTCAGATTTAAATTCTTACTCGGAGACTCACTCTCTGATAGTAATTGCCAGGGCTAAAGTTGAAACTGGAGCTTGCACTTATACAGTGGGCATGACTTTCTCTTTTAAAACTAGATTTACTTTGAAGCCTTTGGCTTAAATGCTACAAACTCAATTAAACTGAGATGTAGAGGACTTGACTAGGGAAAAGATGTTCATGAAGGGAGTGGAAAATTACTGCTTGCTCTCAATTTCATAGGACCATAAAACAGCTTCAGGGATTTCCATTATTTTATTGATGGACTCCTTAAATTGCTTTTTACTTATCTTTCTTCCTATTCACAAAATCCCTAAAGATGCTGTGGTTTGATTTCATACCTCCTTACCTCTTGGGAAAGTGTGACCTTCTCATGCCCTCACCATACTGAAGGATGAATATAAGTTACTAGTCCCCCTTTGCTTTTCATCCTGATATGACACTATACCATTTTAATGTTAGCAGAATTGAACCAAATGTGACCTTAAGAATTGGGAAAGGCTTTTTGTTCAGTACCTCATAGACCTCTTTTGAGGCTCTGCTGCAGTACCCATGTCCTTAATTCCCACTAACAAAGCTTCCACCAAAATTTATGTGATGATTGTTTGTCTTCAATCACCCTTTCTCCTCAGTCTCATGGGTCTATTACTAAATATAAGTGTGGATGACAGGGGTAATGTTAAAGTTCCTTATCTCTAGAGTACATTTTACCCAATAAATTTAAAGTACTAGTTCATTTCAAAATTCTAAGAGGACAAGTATTTCAAACCAAAGATATACAAGAAAAATAGTGCCTTCTCTACTTATACTAAGGTATATTTTTCCAAGTGCAAAGAGACAAAATTTCTCAAAATGGCAATGATTGGGAAGGGAAGTATCACATTTGCACTCATGGCATTTAGAGAAGGAAAGCTGGTATTGATTAATAGTAACGGACATTCAGATTGAGCTATTGTTGAGCATTGTATGTCCATTTTCCTGTGTCAACATATATGACATGTATTTTTACCCTTTCTGTGTTGATAGGGATGGCTAACATTGTATACTTGACACAATCTAGTAAAACCAAGGTGACAAACTTCTGGGCATATTTGGGAGGAAGCTGGAAAATTGAGTTAATTAAGGTAGGATGACCTGCACTGATTATGCATGGCACTACTCTATGGACTGAGCCCCAGACTAAATGAAGATGATACAGCAAACTGAGCATCATAACTAATATCTTTTCTTCCTGACTGTGTATGCTTCATGACCATGACCATCTTCCTTGTGTTTATACTGCTGAGTTCCCTGCTATGATAGACTATAAGCCAAAAGAACTCTTCTTAAGTTGCTTCTAAAGAAAACACACACACACACACACACACAAGTGTGAGTGTGTGTGCAATAAACAGACAGATCCATCAGTGTCAATTATTTTTACAATTAAATTTAATTATTTAGTTGCTCAGTTGGGGCACTATGTAGCTCCAGTGCATCAGAGTCAGGCTGTCATGCTTGATGGCAAGTGCCTAGTCAATATCTATGCTTTTAATATTGAATGTTGAACACATCTCCATTTTAAAGTCCTTAGTTTTATTCAACAGAGTTAAATTATTTTATTCTGGAAGGTACAGACATAAGTGTTTTACTTTGAATTGTATTCAAATAATATCATACAACTAATTTTTCATCATTTATATAAACGGGTCAATTCCTTATCCCTAAAGCTTTAACAAAATGTACATCCTAAGGATTTTGTTGGTGAATTCTACCAAAATCTTAAAAATGAAATTGCATTATCTATATATTATAGCTCAGGGCAGTAATGCAGCAACATCAGAATCTGAGGCAGAAGAATTATAGCCCATGGTAAGCCTGGAACATTTAGCTAGACCGTGCTTCAAAATAAAGTGACAAAAGGATATGAGATATTAATTCAGTGTAGTTATTACTTAGCAAGAGCTTAGCCTTCATTTAAGTCGCTACGATAGAAGTCTAGAAAGTAGAGTCAGGAATTATACCTGTTGTCTACAAATGCTTCCAGAAAGTAGAAGCAGGATTGCATATGCTAAGACATAATGCTGCAAATAGATGATAGCTAATAAAATATATACCATAATATCTGTCATTTTGTATGTGCATGTGTGAATATGTACATATACCCATAGGTTTCAAGATAAATGTGCATTTTTATGGAATTTATGACAATTGCCTTTTGATTAACCTTCATCTTTTTTTAATTTAATCAATGGTATTTTTATTTTTTTAATTTATTTTTTATTTATTTTTGAGTTTAAATTTAGATAAGAAACAAGTTTGCTTCACAAGTCAGTTCCAGGTCCCTCTCCCTTTCCCTCCCCTCCTCCAGTGCCCTCCCCCCAACCCCCCCATTATCCCCTCATTTCCCCAGGGAGGGTGAGGCCTTCCATGGGGGTGTCCATAGTCTGTCATTTCATCCAGGGCAGGGCCTAGACCCTTCCCCAAGAGTTCAGGGTGAGAGTGCACCTCACATTGTTGGATGGGAGTCCAAAGTCCGTGTGTATACTCGGGATGGGTACTGATCTGCTGCCAAAGGCTCAATAGATTACCTAGGCCTCCTCACTGACACTCACATTCAGGGGGTCTTGATCAGTCCCATGCTGGATTCCCAGGCTTGATGCCTGGGATTCAAGAGTTAACCTTTGTCAGGTCATTCCTATGAATAATGCAAAGTTAAAGAAGTTATGTTTTCCAAGTTAGAAATCATCCTATCTGTGAGCAAAACAATGTATTGACTAAAAAAGTATGAAACGGTATAATACAATAAAGGCAAACAAATGTCAACTGTCCAATCATATAGAAGAGTCATAACATGTCTTTTTTTTTACATAC